TGGCGCCCCCTTGTGGATAAGAGAGCAGCCAAAAAGTATCCATTAATGCCCTACATCTAAGTTCACATTCACACTCATATGAGGAGTAACTCAGGGACACTTTAGCATGCAGCCTGAAGCATCGAGGCTGCATGCATCTACCAACCTTCCCCTTACTGTAGAAGACGACCTGCTCTAACCACACAGTTGCTACACACTTCTGCAATATACTATTAATGTTTACAACCCTTTATTGATAACCTATTGAAAGGTAAGTTTATCACCTAATTAAATGTATTCATGTTTAAAGAGTAGTGCTGTTCATACATCTAGAACAGGGGTTTCAAACATAAGGCCCGGGGGCCAGAATTAGCCCAGCAACTCCTCCAATCCTAGAAGGCTTTGGAAAATGTGTATATATTAGGAACTTTTGACTGTATTTTGAGAAGTTTTCCAGGTTTCCCTACTGACAAAACCTTCTCCATTGCCATTCATACTGCAAGAAACTAACAGATACACAGGAAAATGTTCCTGTTTTTCAAGATTTACTATATTTTCTGTGATTAACTAGAACGTCTATTTAATTTAACACATTTGTCATGTAGAAAAGTTAAAATGTACTGTTGAAACTGAACTTCTTTTTCTGATATTAAGAGTTATTGGGGATTAAATGTTGAGTGAAATATCTTTATTCTGACAGAAAGGGTTGATTCGCTGATACGATCAAAGTGGCCCACCGCGTACAACGAGTTTGACGTCCCTGATGTGGAATGTTTAGGCGTTAGTTGCTCAGATTTGGAGATACTTTGAATCTAGAATCCAGTGGAACTAAATGACATTCACTGTTGCTTTCCAAGCTCATAAATGTTTTCAGTTGTTTGTTTGTTTTTTTCAAAGATTAAGTTTTTATTCTTCTTTTAGCTAATTAAAATGTTGTTCTTTCAGTTAACTATATAACTTTGGTGATCTCTGTATCCTAATTCCACCCAGTGACAGCTGGGATAGGTGAGGATAACCTCCCCCTTTTTTCCACAGAGAAAAGAAATCTGAGAAAACTGTGAGGAGACCATATCATCAACATTAATAGCCCTCTGTGTAGTGTATCAGTAGTTTATGATTAGTGCACTTTAAGCTATAAGACAAGTTGGTCTCCACATTTGTTTCATTTAAAGCTATATAGGTTAATAAAGTGTGTTTGCTCTGATATGCTTCACTGCTCTGTAACGACGCTAAGCAGAGTAAAGGTGACATGCAAAGACGGTGATCACGTATCTGCTGCACGAACAACTCTGCCATGCCTTCTCTGACCTCCGGGCATTCGCATCGTGGATGGAAAAGTGAAAGCGAGCCAATAAAAAGTATGGGAAAATGACTGGGCTACTTGTCATCCTCTGAGGATCATCGATATCTGCATCACATTTTACAGATCCCATCCCCTAGATAATATGAGGGAAAAACCCATCAACCTCATAGCTCGACAGAAAGAATCAGGGAAAACAGACCTTTGGGAGCCATGAGTTTCTATATAAAATAACAGCAGAGAGAAAAAATGAGATATTTCAGGCAAATAGAAAGTTTCATTTATGAAAAACAAGAACACAATAAATTAAATAAAAGTATGAAACTATTCTAGAGCTTTTAAGATTTCATCTTAACACCAAATTGCATTTTAAAAAGACCTAATGCAATAAAAATCATAATATGTTGACAACATCAGTGTCAGTGTCCATCAAGATTTCCTGTACTGGGTTAAATGTTATGATCTACTAAAGAGACACATTTAAAAACGCTGACAGTCTGCTGGCAGGGCTCTGGAGCCATGAAACACCGGATTCGTTGCACAGTTTAAATAGTTGAAACCCAGTTTACACGAGTATCTCTAATAAGAGCAGAACTTTCACCACTGAAACACAAAATCCAGCTTCTATTACCACAAAATTACGTACAAATGGAGACAGAGAACAATTAAGCGCACAGTGGAGGGGGTAATAATTCAAAGATGCAGTCCTGTCAGAAAAAAACAGAACTAAATTTTCCACCCTTTCATCAGCAGACAAAAGTGGAAAAAAGTTATAAGATGTGAGGCTTCAGCACAGACGTACATAAAAGATGGAACTTGCTAGCAGGATTTTTTTAACCTAGATCTCGTATGGGTATCATTTGTCATTATGGTAACCAGCCTCTACTTGTCTTTATAGTCCTTTTTAACTCTAATGGGGACCATAATGTATCAAATGAGCATT